GTGTGTGTGAGAGAGAAACAATAATAAAAGGATGCAACCAATATGGATCCAATATGCTAACCCACGCACGACACGGGCTGCAAACAAGCCGGCATTGGCCTACATTCATATTGCTAGTGATACGGCCGGTGAGAAACGTATACGAACACGCCGAAGTGAACCAGCAACCAGATAAGCAAGGTCATATATGCACTCGCAGGCGACATAACTACTGGACAAGCTTCTACCCATTAGGGTTGTGTAGACGCATGTCTCGTGAACAAACAAGACACCATCAACATCAATACAGACACTCTCGAAACTACTGATGCAGTACTATTCCCAGCTACTTTCGTCACAGAATCCCTAACACACCCTTCACAATATCGTATGATGGGCACGCATAATCATAATGATCGACAAGTAGTACACCCTCCACACTACCGCTGATTTGACACAGCAGATACGCTACTAAGATACTTGCAAAATATATTCCGCAGTTACTAGACGACAGCCATAAGAACTGACACGTCATACACACTGGCTTCAAATAGACACGTTCCACCACCAACGCAATGACTGAAGCACAACCTTACCAGTAGCATATGTGAAACCCACAAGACTACTACCACAGTAACTTGTGCGACCCAGCCTACACATTAGTTCCAGGCAGATACACAACACCCCCAGCCACCAGCACACCAACTCCAGCATACCTCTGGGCCTGTATACGGAGTGCCGGTGAAAATCTCCGGTGCGGCGTAGAACGGGCTGCCGCAAAATGTTTTGCACTTCTCGTTTGGATCGTAGAATCGACTTAGTCCGAAGTCGGCTAGTTTGATATTTAGATCTGCATCCAATAGCACGTTCTCAGGCTGTTTGTGTTGTGTGAATGAAGAGTGTGATGGTCAGACTTAGCAGAAGACTCAGTGGCAGTACGAGAGTACCAAAAGCGCTGACCCGTCAGCCACTGTACTAGCTAATGAAAACTGAGGGCGCAAATGGCTGGTTACATATGCATTGGTCCTGCAGCCAATGACTGGGTGGTATTACATACGCACTGGTCTGGTGGCCAAGCTACAGAGACTGTGGAGTTTATGTTCTATATTACAGTTATCACCGTGGCCTACCTTGAGATCTCGATGCACGACCATTTCGGAGTGGCAGTAGTTGATGGCTGAGAAAATCTGGTAGAAGCATTTCTTCGCCTCCTCCTCCTTCATCTTGCCTTTCGGCACGAGGTAGTCGTAAAACTCTCCATGCGGACAATACTCTTGCACCAGGTATATCGTCTACCCGAGCCATGGTTTAAAGTGCGAGTGTTTCCATTTTTTAGAAATTTGAGCACCGCCAGATATCGGCCAAACTATCGTCTACCCGTGACTTGGCTTCAAATTGCGAATGAATACGTTTGCATACAGCTACAGTCCTTATTGCTGTTAGGCTAATTTGTTGTCTATAGCGTGTGCACAAACTACAACACTCACCTCTGATGTGATGATGACCTCGAACAATCGCACTATATTCGGGTGGTTCAATTGTTTGAGTATGCCAACCTGTGTGAACAACGGGCACAATATGAATAAACCGCACGCCAGCCATCGAAAATTCGAGCCAGAGCAGGCAAAAAGAACGGATAATCCATGCAATTTCTAGTCAGTAATTGAGAGAACAACCCTAAAAACTACCGGCACTACCTCTCTCATCAGCGTGTTAAGCTCGTTTTCATCAAGATACTTCTTCTCGACCATTTTCACGGCCACCTGCTGTCCAGTGAACAAATGGCGAGCAAGCATCACCGATGAGAATCGCCCTTTGCCGACCTTCTTGATGATTTTGTAATTTCCTACCATGAATTTCTGGTACACAGTAGTATACAGAGGAATAGGAATCGGATTAAATGCTGTTAACGGTGCGTAAAAATCAAATGCATTGACGACGAAAGTGCGTTCCTAAGCAACTCGTGGTTTTTACTGTATTCAGGTTTTCTATACAACAGTGTGGTATGATATAATTGATGATAGAGTGAACACGAAAGCTCTATTAAACAGAAACGCATTGCGTAGGTAAATTGAGAATGCAAGCAACTGTGATAATTGACCAGATTCCAATACGATTTGTGTATTATATATATATATATATATATATATATATGTGTGTGTGTGTGTGTGTG